AAAGCATAGGAGCAATGTAGTGAATGGAAACTGTGGTGACCTGTAAGCATGACATGCAATGCAAAATGGTCAAGTACACCACTTTGCATTTGCTAAACTAATTCAAACTTTCAAGCGATGGATAGGAAAGACAGCTAATGCCAAGAAAGAATAATTTGAATGCGATAATCTTTGTATTTCATGAGGCATGGGTCTGTCAGTACTTTAGAGAAATCTGTCAGTGAAAAAGTCTCCTGTGAAGACAGTTTTAATGTGTATATAGTTCACTAGTAAGCCTAAATATAATCTTGAAACAGCCTGTGACACAGACTTTGCAAGGATGTTGCCCTTCAGCGACCCTCCTTCTTGCAAGAGACAATGAGACTGTTAAAAGTTTAAAACGCTGGTTTAGGTAAAGGGACTATTTGAAATTGGAGATTACTTGTTTGCAGCACTGTGGGGTTTTCAGCACCACATGGAAACCACTTCCTGTTTCTCATGTTTTTACAGTGATGTCATGGATTGTTGCTCAACCTTCTCTCAGTCAAAGTGTTTTATAACTGGCTTTGTCTGGTGCATAAACCTGCTAACAATACCTCGCCTTTCTGCTTCTCCCATAGGTATGGCAAAATTGTATCAACAAAAGCTATCCTGGACAAGGCTACAAATAAGTGCAAAGGTGTGTCATGTTCTTTTTTTTTTTTTTTTGTCTTACCAGCACTGCCCTCTTTTATCTCTCTTGAGATTCAATATGCATGAAAGGAACCTGCCACGCAAGATATATAGCACCTACACATTCCTAAAATTCTCCAAAAACTGCAGCATCCAGGGTGTGACTTCTGTCATTACAGAAAAATCAAGCAGACATGTAGTTTCAGATCATTTCAGGAAACAGACAGTCAGGCTGTTTAAAGCTGCCTCTCAGCTCATGTTATTTTAAGCAGTGGCTCTTGTCGCTGGTTTGTCGCTATCATGCACGCTGCCTAGGAGGAAGACGCGCCCAACTCTTCCTCTTCTTGCTGATTGACACTGTTGGTCTTATTCCAGTTCTAGTAGATTGCCCACCTGACTAAAGCAGGGCTTGCTGAATCTCTAGGGGTAATGGGATTAAGAGATCGCTTTGTCACTCTCTACTGGATTATAGAGATGCCAGTAAATCAAAGTCCTTCAGTGAAAT